TTAAACATAATTTAAAATAAAATTGTACTAAAAAAACTAATTTCATTGTTTTTTTTAATTACCTTATTAAAAATGCCTTTTTCAATTGTATCGGGGTCACAGGTCACTTGGCTTTTATAAAAAGGGGTCGCCACCTGAAAAAGATTGGAAACTGTTGTTTTAAGCAATTTGTTTATTATTCTAAAGTGTATTTTGCTCACACAGTATTTCACTATTTTAAAGTGATTGTGTAACAATAAGAATAGAAAAATATCATCAAATAAAAGGAAATTAGGGAATCCAAATGTCTAAGTCTGTATTGTGAAATGGACTCTGATTGGACTTGAAGTGACTTTGTAAGGAGGAAAGAAAAACACAGCAAACGACTTTGGATTCATATTTTATGAAGATGCATGATCCTCAGTTTAGTCATCAATTGCAGAAATAAAGTTTTGTCAGTGGTACTGCTGTACAAGATCAAAGCAGTAGCTGTATAAAACTCTCAATGTCAATTTTGGCTATAAATAAGTAGATTATAATTTCTCTGTTATTATTTATTTTGTATTAATAGATTTCAGCATTAAACATGTTTTTTCTATATATATATTCATTATGATTGCATGGAATGTCTCTATTTATTCCACTATAAAATAGATTTTTTTGTGACAATTTTGTTACATTATTTCCTCCAGGAATGCATTACTAGCATAAAATGAGAGCAGTCTGTATAAGATACTAATTTACTAATAATAATAAATTATCATTTGGCTCAGTTTACTTTTGATTATCGAGAATGTTTAAATCTCTCAATTTTTATTTATTCCTTTCTTTTCCTAATGCCAAACTTCAAAGTGTTTGGGACTGGGTATAAGCAGCGGTGATATTCAAAATATTTAACAAAGTTTGCTAACAGAAAATTTTTCCTTAACAATTTTTTTTTCGCTCAAATGGTGCATTAGCAACATTAGCGCAAAAACTGATCTTAAGATACCCCTATAAATAAAAAAGATGCGTTCGCAAAATTAAGTCAGTTAAAATTTAACATTTTTTATGCCAGAACTATATATATATATAAATATATATATATATATAATAAAAAAGAGTGTTCAAAATGGTTTATTTTGTACATATTTTATTACAACACGTGTTCCGCAGCCATCTTGTATTTTCTCTCGTGTGTGGGATTATGGGATCTCTCTTATGCTGGATCTAGTTTCAAGAACTCTCGAGTCGATCGCGATTGAACCTCGTTTCAGTCGAGATTGAAACGGTCGAGGGAGGTCGCACCAAGGCGAACGGGGTATAAGGCTCTAGTTTAGTAGTGTTACAGAGTATAATACATATATTTTAATATATTTTTTAAAAGAAACAAAACCACTGAGAAATGTTACATGTGTTTAACAAGGTTTGGAAAACTTTGAAAATGTTAACAATGGATTCAGCCGAACCTGTGCGAACCCGCTGAATATCACCACTGAGTATAAGATTGTTGTATCAATGCAATAAAAAGTTATTTTTTAACAAAACCAAATAGTTTTTTTAATTTGAGAAATGTTTTTGGATTCTTCAATAGACCCAAAACTTCAATTCCAAACTTTAGAAAACAAAAATAAAAAATGAATACAAGAGTTTTTGTTTTTAAAGTTTGGAACTCAAGCTGGTCTCTTCAGTAGTCTCAAAAACATTTCTCAAATTAAAAAACTATTTGATTTTTTAAAAAAGTGCTGTCTTATTGCATGGTACAACAATATTATATGTACCAATGTTACACGTAATGTTTTTTCTGAATAATAATTTGCCCTATATTTTGATTAGCCATATGTTAATGACTAATTAAGTTTTGCAATATAAGAAAATTTGTGATGAATATTGGAAATTCAACAATTTAAGAAATCTTTCTTAAGTAAATAAATAAAAAAATTTAAAACATGTTAAAAAAATTATTATGCAAATTTTTTGTTTAAAGCTCATAATGCTAGCAGATTTTTTTGTAAGTAATATCAACTTCTTAGTCAATAACATCACTGTTGAAATTGTCTACCAATGAAGATTGATAAAATTGTGAATTGTTATCTTTGAAAAAGATCACATGACAGAATATGTTTTTTTTGAATAAGATTTTCTAATTTTTGTGAACTTGAAACATAGTATTTTACTATGATTATTATAGGTCATTTGTTGTTTTAATTAGAAAAAATTTACCACAGACTGATTGTTGTGTTTCATTGGCAGTTTGTAATATGTAATAACTTAATGCTTTCAATATGTGTATTTTATTTAAGATAAAGTGTTAAAAGATGTGTTTATACTTTATATTTTTAATATTCTATTTTTCTGTAACTGATGATCATTTAAAACGATTGAAAATGCTTTTATTATATTAAATTTTTGCTGGATTGACAAAGGTGTAATTTTTAACCTTTTCTTTATCCAGTATATAGTTTATTACATATTTGAAGACGTTATTAAAATTATATTTATAGAATTAATTTTCATATGAAATGTTTTGTTTGTGTTCTTAAACCTAAATTTTGTATATTTAGAACTAATTTGATAAATGTCAGTCATATACTGTACAAGAAAGTTTAAAATTATACTTTTTGGACGGATCTTATATAATCAGTTGTTTAATGTTAAAAATAAACTAGGAAATGAAAATAGTACAACTGTAAGAATATATTTCTTGACATTTTTTATTTTGATAAAACCTAATTTTGATAGTTAATAAAATTTATCATATTAACTCTGTTTTTGATTAAGTGATATATTTGTATTCTGATTTATAATTATAATGAAAATATGTATTATAAATTAGATTATTTATTTTTATTTATTACTATTAATTATTATTGATGCTTTTCACACTGTGGCACTAAGATGACCTTTCAATCAAGCACATTGTGGGTTCAGCCAGTCACAGAGTTGGGACAGGACCAGACTTATCTGGGATTGACCATCATCTGAAAAATTCCTGAGCCACGTTAACTGCTTAACCATCTGGTTATCTAGTTATTTGTGTTGTCAATACATTGCACTTCATTTTATGATAGGACAGAAAAACTTCTGCTTTAATGCAATCAGAATGTTGTTTTTTATACTTATTCTGTATTAGAGTTCAAACATTTTTCTTGATTTGTACTACATACAATTGCAGGCAACCTTCATTTTATGCCAGTTTGATTTATATCAATTGACAATAATTTTCCCCATAAGTGTCTAAAAATTTATTTCCACAATGTATAGAATAGTTTTTTGCAACTGCTAAATGCAGATATTTCTTTGTGTGTTGATATTGCTACTAGAACTAAGTATATTGTAGTTATTATAATACTAATAGCAACTTTTCTTTAATAGTGATTCTAAGCCATGGTTTCCCAACCTATGGGTCACAACCCAGAAGGGGGTTGCGACAGGTTTTCTGTGGGGTTGCCAACTTATACAGTAAACTAAAAAAAAAAAAATATTCACTATAATGCAATTTCTATTTTTAATGGTGTCTTGAAGTTTGAATAATTTCATTTATTTTTTTTAATTAAAATAAGTGTAATCTAGGTACGCTATTCTGTCACATTTGGTTGAAACGTGTTGAGAGCTTGAGAGGAATAAATTAAATGTTGAGAATGACATGTGGTTGGCGTTAACAAAAACTCACCTGCGAATTTTGAGGCTGGTTAATAACATGCAATTTCAACCATCACACTAAATTAATTATTAAACATAATTTAAAATAAAATTGTACTAAAAAAACTAATTTCATTGTTTTTTTTAATTACCTTATTAAAAATGCCTTTTTCAATTGTATCGGGGTCACAGGTCACTTGGCTTTTATAAAAAGGGGTCGCCACCTGAAAAAGATTGGAAACTGTTGTTTTAAGCAATTTGTTTATTATTCTAAAGTGTATTTTGCTCACACAGTATTTCACTATTTTAAAGTGATTGTGTAACAATAAGAATAGAAAAATATCATCAAATAAAAGGAAATTAGGGAATCCAAATGTCTAAGTCTGTATTGTGAAATGGACTCTGATTGGACTTGAAGTGACTTTGTAAGGAGGAAAGAAAAACACAGCAAACGACTTTGGATTCATATTTTATGAAGATGCATGATCCTCAGTTTAGTCATCAATTGCAGAAATAAAGTTTTGTCAGTGGTACTGCTGTACAAGATCAAAGCAGTAGCTGTATAAAACTCTCAATGTCAATTTTGGCTATAAATAAGTAGATTATAATTTCTCTGTTATTATTTATTTTGTATTAATAGATTTCAGCATTAAACATGTTTTTTCTATATATATATTCATTATGATTGCATGGAATGTCTCTATTTATTCCACTATAAAATAGATTTTTTTGTGACAATTTTGTTACATTATTTCCTCCAGGAATGCATTACTAGCATAAAATGAGAGCAGTCTGTATAAGATACTAATTTACTAATAATAATAAATTATCATTTGGCTCAGTTTACTTTTGATTATCGAGAATGTTTAAATCTCTCAATTTTTNTTTTTGTTGAGAAAGGTCTTTTAACAAGACCGAAAACGTTAGAAGTAATAAACTTCGGTTGCAAGATAAGGTGTATCAGTGAGTTTTTTGATATTATAGTATTCAGTCTCAAATGATTTGATTACACTGAATTTCCCAAAAACAATAACCCTTGTTAAAAGTAGACAAATAAAGATTTCCACACTCAAATCACAATCTGAGTCTTTATATGCTATGTTAATACGTATAAATATTGCTATGTTAATACATATAAATGTTACTATATTGCCAATGTTGTTTAATTGCTTTTTTCATGTAATGTTAATTAATATAAAATTAATAGTATGTACTAAATAATTTTAATAATTATACATAAGTGTAAAATTCCTTGATTTTAAAAAATAATTATTAAAACTATTGAAATAATTAGTCGTTTAAATGATATTCTTAAGTATAAAAAAGTATATAAGAAATTTGAAAGAAATTTGAATAGAATTTTAGAAATGAATTAATTTAAGGTAATTTTTAAATTTCAGTTGAAAACATTTAAAGTGAAAGCTCCCCATGAAACAGTTGAAGAACTTTCAAATGGCGTGGCCATGGCAGAAGTCTTAGCTCAGATGTAAGTAAATTTACTCCTTTTGTAAACTGTTTAAAAACTGTATCTATAAGATTTAACATGTCATGTTAAATTTTGTAGATATTTTCAAACAGTTACAGTTAATTCAAATGTACAGTACCATAAACAAAAATTTTATACTGATAATATTTAACATTAAAAAAAAAAAAAGAAATATTTTTTTCTATATGTGAATTCGTCCTGGCAAATTTTTTTAATATATTTATTTATTTATTTAATAATTGTGCTGGCCACTGCTAGAGGACTTTTTAACTCATTTACATTGGACGGCAAACATGTAGCCTCAAATAAAAGGTCTGTATCGCCGTAAATTTGTTATTGCCTCTACAAAGAGTGTGAAGGAACAAATGAAGAAGGACTCAATATATGTATAGTCCGAAAAGAAATATATTTAACATATATTTTAATATTTTTCTTGCAAAAGGTCTTAGGCTAAAAGTTTTTTAAAATTAATTTTTACATAATTATAGACAAGTCTATCTTTTTTATTATTTTTTAAAGCTATTCCTTGATTAAATCACTTTTTCATGGGAGAAGAAAACTTTTTTAAGTGAAAAATTTCAAAAAAAATTATTACAAATAAATTGTGGTTAAAGACTTTTCAGAAACACATTGTCTTTTGTTTATACAATATTTTTAATAGTTTTGAATGATCAATATTTAAGTGTAAAGATTTTTTAAAGTAAACTTTTAAGAATTTTGAATAAATTAGAATTCCTTAAAAATTGTTAAAATTCAGATTTTTTTTATTTATTAGAAAATTAAGGAATAAATATAATACTTCTAAAATAAGATTGAAAATATTATTATTGATTTTTTTTTTTATAAGAAGATAAAATAATTAAGGATTGCATTTTATAGGATTTATAAGAACTGAGGTCTTTCTTTCATAGAAGATTAATTTTAAGTTACTTTGTTTTTACAAATATTCTTTGATTTTATATTTTCCAGATATAAAATAGATCATTTTTAAAGAATGTTGGCTTTTTCAAAAACTTATTAGATTTGATGTTTTCAGATTTATTTTATTTCTCTGTAGAAGAGTATTAATAGGAGTAAATTGAGAATGCAATTTAGTTACTCTTACTACAATTTATTTGTATATGATCATCTCAACATCTGATATATTATTGGGTTGTTCAGAAAGTAAGTTCATTTTTTTCCGTGGAAAAAACACAATATTTTTATAATAAATAAATATTTTATTGTATTATATATCAACCATTTTGGTCAAATACCTGTTGTCATCGTTTCTGGTAGTAGCATGGTTTCACATTCATAAAAGTTTTGATCGTTGCTTACAAAAAACTGATCAAAGTGATTTTTGACATTGTCATTTCAAGTAAATGCCTTATGTTAAAAAAAATTTGTATAGAATGGAACAAGTAATAATCTGAGTGTGCTCAATCTGGCGAATATGGTTGGTGTGATAGCACATCCCATCTAAGTTATAACAATTTCTGACGAGTTACCAAACTTCTGTGAAATTTGACATTATTGTGATAAAACACTACACCTGTTTTGTTGATCAAGTCTGGCCGCCTTTTCTGTTTGATGATATTACTCAATTTGTTTACTCGATGGCAGTACACTTTCGAATCAATTGTTAAATTGTCTGGTAAAAGCTCCAAAAAAAATTTCCTTAAAATCCCACTAAAGAGAGCATCTCTCTTTAAGAACACGTGGAACCCATATATCGAGCTTTGAAACAAAACCATTTTGTTTTAAGTAATCATAAACAGTTTAATTTGACAAATTTAATCTTAGTGATTTCACATGTTGTTATTTGGCAGTTTGCTTCAATCAGTACCTTTATTTTGTTTTCATTGGCTTCAACTGGCCATCCAGAATGTGGTGCATCTTCAATATTGAAATTGCCAGAACAAAGTTTTGTAAATCAATTTTGGCACTGTCTTTCTCTCAACACATCATCTCCAACATGCATGACAATTTTTTCTTGCTTGAACAGCATTTTGATTTTTTGGTAATAAAAAAGGAAAATATGCCGAAAATGCTGCTTTCGATCTTCCATATTTGATGGGACACAAAAAATAAACAATTGCACAGAATCAAACAAAAGTTTTTACAAATAAGCCTTAAAATGCTAGCTGTCAAAATATATAATGATAATACGATTTAGAATGAAAATGGCGGGAAAAATACAACTAATCCATCTAGTGGTAAAAAAAAATAAACTTACTTTCCGAACAACCTAATAGTAATAAACCAAATGACTACTGGATTACATTGAGCTACTTTACCATAATTAATCTTGGTAAAGTAGTCTGATGTAATCCAGTAGTTGTTTGGCATATTATTATTAAAATTTAATAATTAATTCAAATATCTTAAAAACATGTTTTTAAAATTTTGAATTATGCTTTATTTTATTGATGATGGTTAATTTAAAGATATTGAAAAATAATCTAAGGATGGAGCCAGATAATTAAATTTTAAATCTTAATAAACAGGCATCTTAAAGAATAACTAAGAATTTTTAATATGGCTTTTATAACATTGAACAACAATGAAAAATTTTTTGACCTGAAGCCAGGTGAACCTCATACATTTGAGTCACAGAGCTGAAATCTGGTGTTAGATTTTGTCTAGTATCTGCGGATAGTGAAATGTAGTACCTGCATGATGAGCATTGTTTTGCAAGTGAAGTAATAATAATAATAATAATAATAATAACTGGTTAAACAGCTGGTTAGATTGAGGATGCCTCTTTGGGGAGACGGAAGGATTCATGATTGTCATACAGGATTAGGTCATAAATACTAAAAATTACAGAAAACACATACTCAAAGATACAACACTCACAAATGACAATGCAGAAAATGTCACATCATGCCAGAAACTATACAACACATTACATCTGGGTGCAAGCTCTTGGCATAGAGAGATTATTTACACAGACACAATCAAGTAGCAAATATGCTTGTTTGCACCAAGAGCTTGCAAACAAACACAAATTATTAGACATCCACGAACCATACTACAAATACATTCCACAGACAGTATTGGAAAAAAACACACACAAACTGTACTATGACAGAGCCATAATCACAGATAAAACAATTTACCACAACAGACCAGACATCATACTCATTGACAAACACAATAAAATCACATACATCATAAACATAGCCATTACAAACACTCACAATGTACAAAACACATGCACTGAAAAAATTAGCAAGCACACAGAACTCGCCCAGGAAATAAGGCATCTGTGGAGGATGAATAGAGTGATTATTGTACCTGTTGTTCTCTCCTGTACAGGTGTGATACCACACACACTACACAAAAGCCTGGGAACATTACAATTGAATAGAAATACATACATCACACTACAGAAGGCCACTATATTGAATACATGCCACATTGTTAGGAAATTCCTGAATACAGACACACACACGGATACACTTATTTAATTTTAGTTTTGATTTGGTTGCTATGCCTTGACTCTGGTCCGGCATAGTACACAGCCACCGGTGTGAACTGAGTAACCCACTAAACCCAACACAATAATAATAATAAAGGAGGAGGAAGGGCTGTCTGCTTTTGCAAACTTAACCCACTAGGAAGAGAAAGGAGTGAAGAAAAGGTTGAAGGAAGGGTTCTGAAGGGAGAACTATAAAGGAAAAGGGAAAAAGTAACACTGCAAAAAGTTATTAGGACCTCAGAGCGCTACATTGGAAATTATTAATAACCAAAATTATAAAAGTTGACAAGACCGTTATACAGTATTAAAAATTACAAGAAATGGTCCGGTTACAGTAAAATGCAAAACCCATTACATATGGGTAGGTATAAACTAACCTTGAACACTGCAATGTTACAATAACATTAAGAACTGGTTACAATTTCAACACGCAGAGAGAATGTAAATATCAGCTTACTATGATATAATAATACAGATTACATGGTACGTGAGGACCCGATACATATAAATGGGAATATTTTTTTTAATCTAGAATCTAAAACTAAACTAATACTAGACCACTAAACTATGTACAGGAAAATTCTATACGGCCGATCAATCAATCGCTGATAACATTATTTTTCTGATTTTTCACTGTCTTCCTGCTCATCTTGTCTGTTCTTGTTTTCATTCTCAAGAATTTTTTATTTCCTGTAGAAGTCTGGCAGAAGAGCCCTGGTGCTTTCAATAAACCTTTCAAAACACTTCCAGAGATTTTTCTTATCAAAAATGTTTTGTAGTGTCAGTGGCCAATTATGACCTTCTTGAAGGCATTCCCTATAGAATGAAATGAGTTGATACTCATATCGTTCACAGTGGAATATAAAATGAATGGCATCTCCTACACTATTATTGTCGCACCGGCATTTATTAGTGTTTCTTTTCTTAAAGCGGTAGAGGTAGGCCATAAAATTGCCATGCCCCGTTAAACATTGGGTGGTTTCAGATCTAGGTTTGTAGTAATTAGCCTTGATGCGATTAGTAATAGAGGGAATAAGCTGGTGGCAAAGTTTCCCCATTGTAGAATTATTCCAATTTTCCTGCCATTCAAGTAGTGCCCATTCGTTTAAGGAATTTTTCAGTGTTGATTTTGGTAACCTGGTATATGTATCCTGCATCTTGAGAGTACCAGCCATTTTGGCCAAAGAATTGGCCAGTTCGTTTCCTTTATGTCCTTTATGAGCTGGTATCAACTGAATTGAATATTGCGGATAGTACTGAGATAATGTGCTACTTTAATAACTTCTTTGCTCAGTAGCGTGATGTTTTCAGTTTTTGCCAAGACATGAAGAACCACCTTACTGTCAATAAGGAATTTTATGTTACCTTTGTATTTATTTAAGTTATCTTTAATTTGGGTGATTGCTTTGTACATGGCCCATAGTTCAGCTTGTGTAATGCTACAATGTTTAGCAAGTTTTAATCTGGCCTGATATATTGTCTTATTGTTGTTGTTTTGAATGCACACACCCGCTCCCACTCTGCACTCTTGCTTAGAACCATCTGTGTACACTATCCACTGAAAGTATCTGTTTGTTTTGGAATTATAATCAAAACTTATTTCGTAGCTGTGCATGTCTGTTGGGTGTGGTTGGAGGCATATATCATTACTAGTTTTATCAATTTCATATTTTTTAATAATATTAGGTACATTCCAGTAGCTGTTTGGAATCATTTTATTTTTAATACATTTTTCGATATCCTCCTGTGTGTAACTGTGTAGCCGAATATTAGTGCAGAGCCAATTTCAAACTGTTTTTTTGCCATGATATGTATTGGCATTAGTCCAGCCAGTACCAGTATTGCATCTGCTGGAGCTGTTCGATAAGCACAAGTAATCCTTATTGCTGCTCTTCTCTGTATCGGCAGTAATTTTTTGCAAACGTGTGTTGTTAAGTGTGTCTTGCCATACAGAGACAGCGTATAAAATAGCTGGCTCAATTGCCATCTTATAATTAATTTGCTGTTTGTAAAGTTTAATCCTTAGTGTTTTCCAATAATCCAATTGAGGAGGTTAGCTCTTTGACTCGTTTTCTTGCTAATTTCATTCATATGATGGTGCCAACTGAGCTTTGGGTCGAAGAATATTCCAAGATATTTCAAAACTTTCACCTGTTTAATTCTGTTATTATCCATACGAAGTTTAAGGGTTTTTTGTAACTGTCCATGTTTATTTTTTCGAGTACACACCATTGCTTCACACTTTGTATAGTTAATTGGGAGCATCTGTTCCTTGCTCCATTGCAGTATTTTGTGAAGTGTTCCATTAGCTTCATTGGTCAGTTTATCACAATTTTTATTTGCTATCATTATAAGTAAGTCATCAGCAAAAGCTTGGACCTTTAGATCATTGCAATGGTCAAAATTCATCAGTAGTTTATTGAACACCAAATTCCATAGCCCCGGGCCGCTACGGGAGCCCCGTGGACAACCCCTGTTTATTGTTCTCCTTATATGAATGTAGTTGGAGTGAAACTCGATGAATCTTTCGTTTAAGTAACTATCTAATAATTTGTTGACACTTCTTGGATTGTTAACATCTTTGAGGCAATTTTTAATGAGTGGCCATCTTAAGTGGTCGAAGGCTTTTTTGTAATCAATTGCTATTAATAAAACATGTTAATATTTGTGTTTTATTTGCGTAAAGATAAACCTATGGTCACTTGCCGAGGTACATAATAAAGTTTCGCAATTCACTACTATTTGCGCCAGTTCTGCTGACATCAGGCAAACATCTGTCCAACCTCTAGCGTGTGGTGTGAAAAAAGTTGGATGGTCGGTCATATTAACCGAGATTAAACTAAACTCTTCCATCAAGTTAGTTACCAGCCGGCCTCTGTATCTTCCTGTATATTAAACCTAACCGCTGATTTGGCATTTAAGTCGGCAGCAACAATCACATTTTCACTATCTACTTTTCTTAGTACTTTCTCAAGTTCATTAACACCTTCCTCATCGTTCATATATGGCAATATGTAGGCATTTATTACGTATATAGGAGGGTTGTGATATATTATAGCTGTTGTAATTATCTCAGAAGAAAGGTGTGGAATCAGTGGCATATCTATCAGATTATTGTTCACCCTTATACAGCTATAATATTGGGCTAAGTTACAAATTAATTAGTAATTCAAAATTATTATTACCGATATTTAGCCTGATATTATAAAGCTGTTGATGTAGCTTTATTTGAAAAATATCCTGATCTCAGTTTTATTTTATGAAAGATACAAGTAAATTAATCTAATTGACATTGTTTTAAAAATAAGTTTCCCATCTGTATCAAATTATTTTTATCAATTATTAATACAGTGTATTTAATATTTAATTTCATTAATTATTTCAGTGCACCTGACTATTTTCATCCTGCTTGGATATCCAAAATAAAAACAGATACAGGAAACAATTGGAGATTAAAGGTTAGATCCTACAAAAAAAAAACAACTTGATTCCTTATTTCTCACATTAAATAGTCCATTTCTTTAAGTTTATTTATATCTTAATATTAACAAATTTTACTGTCTAATTAAAGTACAAAAATTTACAGTAAGATAAATTAAGATAAAAAAATAAAGATAAAAGTTAAGATAAGATATTTTTAAGGTTAATTTTTTTCAGGATGATTGAGATAAAACAAAGAAATAATATTAAACAATAAAGTAATAAAGTTTACAGAAATACATTTTTTTGCATCATCATATGATAAAAACTATTCAATGAGGAAATAATTTTTAAAAGTTATATAACTTTTACAAAATTAAGTTTAAAGTGAAACTAAAAATTGATATAATTTTTTAAAATTTGTACATAATATTTCTTTTTTTGTACACAGAAGCTGCTGTTAACCACACCTACTTTCTCATAATTTGATGTGTATTAATCTTGTTTTTACTTTTTACTAAATTTTATATATATATATATATATAATTTAAAAGTTGTGAAAACTGTGGAAGGAAGGAATAGTTGAGTTTATTGAAAGTTTGGTATAATGAAGTCTCTCTCTACAATAATAATGCATACTAAAATGAATTTCTGTCATGTTTTATTCTTACTAAATATAGTAAGGTGAAATATAATGGAATGAAAAATTCTGAATTAACTAAATTAAAAATTAGATTATTAGTTTAATTTTATCTAATATATTTAAACTCATATGTTATTCTGCTATGAAAGATTTATTATTGTTTATAGTTGTTTATTATTAAAATCAGTCTGTTGGGAAATTATTCAAAGTGGTTTAATTGTTTATATGAAAACTAATAAATGTTTTTATGTAGTTTTAAAAAATAATTTTTTGTATTGCAAAGAATATGTTAATAGTAATAAAAAATTTAAAGTTAATATAATAAGACCCCGCTTAATGCAGGAGATGTGTTCCTAGATGACAAAGCCCTAAACGAAACAGCGTTAAAAGAGGTCATTTTAACATAGAGTAAATAGTGAAAGGGGACCATGTGACCGAAAACTAAAAAATTTTACTTTGTTATTTTTATATTAATTTGTATAATAACACACAAACATATGCACAAGAAATGTATAATAATATATTAGTTAGTTCCTTTTTTCTATATTAATAGTTCATTTTTTGTGATGAAGGTCCTGACTTTTCTTGATTTTTTGCAATAAAGTCATGAAGTTTCATTTGTTGCTTTTTTCTTTCCTTGAGCAAATGTTGGTAGCAGAAGATCGCATCCAAAATGCCTCATTTTGCTTTTGCACTCCTTTCAAAATCTAGGTCATTCACTACAATTTGATCAATGATTTCGGTTATCATTACTAAACTTTTACTAAGGAAATCTGTAGAGAAATTTTTTGGATTATTCATTTTCAGAATCTCTATTTTCCAGTTCTATGTGGATTCCTTGTTCTGCCAATTCTTGAAGGGCATCGTTGATAAGACTCTCACCAGAAACCTGTGGTAACTCCTCAATATCCTGTTCGTTTACATCATCTAGTCCTGCTGTATCGATTAGGTTGACCAAATTGTCAACCTAACAATACAACAATAGGCTCATGTTGAGAATTCTTGGATACCTTCAGCTGTATTTCTTCCACACTTTGTTCATGCATTTATCAGTTAATTCTTGCCAAGCGAAACCAATATTGCCTATGGCATCCATGATGTTATATTTTTTCCAAAATTATACCAAACAAACATAGATTTAAAGAAAGTACACCTTTTTGCCACCTTTTTTTGATTGGTTCATGTTCGTAAATAATCATATTATGTATGAATCAATAAAATGCCATGATAATTTAAATTGGCATAAATTTTGATTTTTTTTTAGGCTTCGAGTAGATGGCATTATATCGAATCAGTGTTAAGCAGGGTCTTATTATATTTCAAATTGTCAGAAGATACAGATGTATATGACACCAATGAAAATGATGCATTATTCTGCAAATTAAATGACCAGTTCTTGTATTTTACATTACATATATTATTTAATTACACTAGGTATGTCTGCATAATAGCATTATAGTTTTCTTGTTGGCAATTGTTGCCGTCTCTATAATTTTACAAATTAGCCAAATATTTATGCCTAAATTTAAAATTTTACAGATCCCGACTGGGCCAGCCTGAACATCGGTGCTCTAATGTGTATAGAATGTTCTGGAATTCACAGAAATTTAGGTTCTCACATTTCTCGAGTCAGGTCTCTGGATCTCGATGAGTGGCCGTGAGTTACTTTTTTGGTTTATAGCTCTGCGGTCCAAATTTTCGAGCTATTGTTTAAGTTCTTAAAATTTTAACAGTCCCGAACATGTCAGTGTCATGATGGCTCTTGGGAATTCTGTCACCAATGGTATTTGGGAAGGAAATACACGAGGCAAAGCCAAACCCACACCTAATTCTAGCAGGTAAGATTTGTTTAATATCAAAAATTAGTAATGGTAGTAGAACAAATAGAAGTATTTTACCATCATTGGGTGTTTGAATTTGTTTGGACTTCGATTTCATTTTAGTATAATGTAACAGATGTAATCGACTCTTCATTTTCCCAGTCTTCACTTTTGAAAATGCATCAGTTCAACGACAATAAAACTGGATATGTTGTTGAGTAACAAGATATTTAAATACCAAAATCCAGAAAAAACGAAAAAACTTAGTGGCAAATGTTTTCTCCACATCAAGTGGTCATTGTTGGGCTACAGAGCTTGGAACGATAGTTCTATTTTTTCAAACCTATTTTTGATTTGTGGTTGGATGATGTAGGAGATGTCCTAGAACTTCTTCCACTCAGGAAGGACGCAGTCCATCTCTTTGAAATCAATTGCCACATTTCTTCTAGTTGCATCTTGTTGGTATGATGTAGGAGGCAGGCTTAGTCAAAATGGACCCACTATATTGGAATCAGTGGCATACGTGGCTAGGGTTGTGGTTGTAAGCCACATGCTCCGAGGTGGATGCCTATAGCTCCTATGTATTCTCAACTGTGGTTAAATCTATGATCAGCAAGAAGAATTTACTGTAAGTTTTTTGTTTTTCACTGGATTTTGGTATATAAGTATCTCGATATTTGAAAATGCTTTGATTGTATCTATGAAACTTCATTGGTGGGAGAATCCCTATTGAAGATTTCAGAGCATGCTTTTCTTCATTGGTCGAAAGTGCTGATGACTGTTGGTATCTACATCTCTTTATGCACTGCAAACCACCAAAGGTACGCATGCCTCACACCTTTACTTGTTTGGGGCTTGACAATTCTCACTTAAAAAGAGGCTTAACAAAAACAAGCATTAAATTTTATTCTTTACATCATGGTTATTCACATAGTGTAGGATATTTTCTGGTCAATTGCTTGTGACATTCTTTTTATTTTTTTCCACTGTTTACTTTTAAACTCAAGTGGGGTGACATAAGTGTGTTTGCATGGGAAAAACTGCCCCATGCTGCTATATTCCTGTCCATCCTACTTGAAACTGTATATCAAAAGCTGATAAATTTCTGGCATAATTCCTAGAGAATTTAGAAACTGTGTGATTGATGCATGAACTTGGATAATGTTGACAATTGAAACTTTTGGAGTTTAAATGTGTGACAGTGCTAGGTTATTTTGGATAACTTTTTAAAATGAAATTTTAAATGAAGTATGCCAAAATAATTTTTAAAATAATATACAATATGTAATCCTAAAAACAGCCTTTTTAATTAATTTGAAAATTTTCTATACCTAAATATTATATCACCATGCTTTATTCATACTTCACTAAAATAATAAATTAAATAGATTGAAATTTTGTGCCCTAGGCAAGTGCCTAGTTTGCCTAAATGGTAGCACCAACACTGGTCATTACACGTTATTACTTGATAAATGAAACAAAATGTATATAAACATCCCAAAGCCCAATATTTTAGTAATATGCCAAATGACTGCCAGATTAAATCAGGCTACCTTGGTGGTAAAGTAGCCTGATTTAATCCAGCAGTCGTTTGGCATGAAATGAAACAACAAAAAAATGTCCTTTGGTATTTTGTATTCACTGGACAGCTCCATTTCACTTATTTTATAACAGCAATTACAGCTATCTCTATTAGCAGTTTATTATAGAGGAATATTTAAGGTTTGTGTTCTGGAGATCCACTTTAAAAGTTGTGTTATGCAAAGGATTCATTGCAGTAGATGGACTTTAAAAAAAATATTCCAGTGGACCCTTACTCCAAAATTTTCTGATACTCTTTCTGCCCAGGGACACACTAGACATAAAGTGCAAGTTATTGAGGGCCAAAAACAAAGTTTGATGTTACTTGACTGTTTCTGCACATGACAAGTTAATTGGCACAACTGCTTGTGAATGTATTATTCAAATGATATGGGGAAAAGTGGCCACGTTGGCTTTAGGTGGCATTGTATGTTTTTGTTTGGTCATCTAATGTATCAGCATTCATGAAAAAGGACACAGAAAAGTGACCAAAACTTGTGGTTTTCTGCTCCTACCTTACAATGGCCTTTTTCCTAGCCCATAAAAAGTTCCTGAGATTTTTCAATTAAATCCTGGGTTTCTGGAGTGGCAGGCCAATATCTTACTCATCTCAACATTTATTCATTCTGAAACTGCTTTGTTTTTCCCTCTTATTTAATTCTGAGTGCAAACAACATATTGCTCGGATACCTAAAACATTGAGTATTATTTCCAAGGAATTTTATTTTACCGTATTCTAGGTTATTTAAGAAATTGTAGATTCAAATCAGGAATACATACATTTCAGTACATGTACAGTGTCTTATTTATTATTAGTATTCAGTTCAAAATCAAAAGCTGATTTGACATACAATTTTCAATTCCATTGCTACAGACAAGGGCGTCACCAAGGAAGTTGAAAAAATTATTTAAATATTAAGTTTTAATTAAAATAATCTTCTTAGGCTTCTTGTAAGTTTTAAAAAAATGTTTTAACTAAGATATTTCCTTCTCC